TATGCTGGGAAAGTAAACAAGCCCAGTACAATATTCTTTTTCTATATTTTAAGGGCTATTTATTGGTTTATTTATTTTTTGATAATTTGATGAAGCTAATCAGAAGGATGTTACTATTCTGACAGTTTTGTTAATATAATTAATTTATAAATCACAGATAAAAATCCTTTAAAACAGCATATAGGTTTTATAAAATGATCTTAGAATAGTAATTTATAAAGTAGAAAGTTCTGTAGAAGATAAATAGATACCAAAATAAATTCTTCCAAATATGCCCAACGTGTAAGAAACGTGACAAAAAGATACAGAGTTGGTATTGGTTAACTCTGATGCACAGTCTTTACTTAGTTTCCGTTCACTGTATAGACACCTGCAGGCAATCATGGAGTCTGGTCTGGTCTAGCTTTCTTGAGAGTCATGTGTCATGGGTTTTGGAGGTTAGAGTCCATGGCTCCTGAGACACTGTGCCCCTCTCAATTCTTCAGAAACTCGGCACTCCCTCAGGCAATGGAACATTCTGGCCTCCTATGTTTCTCCATGTTCCCTAGACGTCAGAGAAGCATATAGAAGTTTGACAAAACCATTAGGCTTAGTCCTCAAACTTGTGTACTACTTATAACTTGCGCCTGGCAACTACCATTATATTTATCCCAGGAACCACCATTATATTCTATTTCTGATAAGGCTATAAAATTTCTGACTGCTTGCAATAAGTTTGTTTCAGCTCCAGTCTGGTTGAGAACCCTCCATTATGACCTGGTTTGAATTCGCATCAACCATATCAGGAGACACTGAGTCTCCCTCTGTGGCTGTGTCTACTTCACTCCCAGATCCTGCCGGGTCATTACTCTCTGCATGGTGTCTGCCATTCTCTGAGATCCTGCCTACTTTCAGATGTCACCTGCATCAGCATCACAGTTTCTACTCATCTCCACTACCTTTCGAGAATCCAGGTGACAAAATCTCTGTTGGAGATTTGAAAACTGAAAAATCCTTCCCTTCCAATTTTCTATCTTAAAGTTATTACATCCTCCACTGGCAGAGAAAGCACTTAGATTGGTCGCAAAAGTAGTTAGCGTTACTTCAACCCCCAGAGTAGCTTCAGCCCCACTCCTCACTCTCTTTCCTCACATCTGTCTTGAAGGTGATTCAGAGTTCTTTTTTCCCAGATGTCTACAATCAATCTGTTTTTAACTCATGTCCCCTTAAACAGACGGGATTAGACAGAACAAATGTTTTTAATATCCTTAGATGAGTAACTACAAAGTATATTCAATATTAATCACAATACTAATAAAAGTCACAACCAAATATAGTATAGTTAATTTAGGTATTAAATGCTAAGCATTCAAGTATCTTGAACCTTTTAAAATTTCAATATGGTTGTTAGATTAGTGTATAACTTAAGTAAATAAGCCACAGAAGTGGATAGACACAATAGAATATAATAAAGAGACCATTTTATGGAAACAATGATGATATGCTAAAGGATAGTAACTCTGTCACAAATCTAGGACCTACCTACCAGTCTAGAATTCACAGGGGAACTATGCAAGAAAATGTCTTCTAGAAAGAATTATATTTCTTAGATTCCATAGACTATCCAGTATAATAGACGATGTAGAAATAGATTAGGGATAGGCTAAAATATATTTGAATAATGTAAAAGCAATAAGTTATTTGAATTTGATATCTGTTTAGTTTTAAATGAATTTAAACTATTTGAATTTAGATAATCAATTTAACCCTAGCAGAGTGATTCTCTAGTAAAAAAATTTAATATTAATAAAATTTGACATTACTTATTTTGTAAGTTTTATAATAAGACACTAGTAAATCAGAGTGGACTGAATTATAGCTGTATTTGTAAAATAAAATAATGTTCCTTACATTATCAGCATCTATGGAAAGAAATGGGTACCATGAGCTAAATATAGACTAGAAAACTATTATTGAAAACTGTACTAAGAAACATTGAAGTTAAATCCTATGAGTGATTCAGGAGAAGGGTATAAACAATGTGGAAACCAGTGTGTTAAATCTACTTCAGCAACAGCTATAAAAGTCTTGAATACTTCACCTACATCAATTTTCTGAATGTAGCAGCTTCATAGAGATACTCTACTTAAATTAAGATTGTGTAATTGCAAAAGAGTAAAGATGGAGACTTACTTTTGAGCATTACCCTAAACCCTGAATTCACAAATGAAAAGAATGGATCATAGATGAAAATAAAAGTCAACTCCATAACCTCTTTCATATTGAGTTTACAGAGCCCAGATCACAGCTTTTGTAGTAATCACCAGGATGACCAAAACTTAGTCATTGCTTGCTATCTTTCTATTCTTTCTTTTCTTCTGTGTGTCAAGAAAAAATCCAGTGGAGAAAGTAAAATATGCCCAACCCTCATCTTCTCTCTTCTCTCTTGCCCTCTCCCCTCCCCCCATCTCCACTCACATTCTTCCAACTTTTGCCTGGCAATCTTTTCTGCTTCCAGTTTCCAGGAGCCTCTATATAGGTTTTCCTTTGGGTTTACCTTATTACTTAGCTTCTCTAGGATCACGAATTATAGGCTCAATGTCCTTTGTTCATGGCTAGAGTCCACTAATGTGTGAGTACACACCATATTCATATTTTTGGGTCTGGGTTATCTCACTCAGGATAGTGTTTTCTACTTCCATCCATTTGCATGCAAACTTCAAGAGGTCATTGGGTTTTTTTGTTGTTGTTTTTGTTTTTTTTCTTACTGCTGAGTAGTACTCTACTGTGTAGATGTGCTACACTTTCTTTCTCCATTTTTCCATTGAGGGCCATCTAGGTTGTTTCCAGGTTTTGGCTATTACAAATAATGCTGTTATGAACATAGTTAAACAAATGCTTTTGTAGTATGATAGGGCATCTCTTGGGTATATTCCCAAGAGTTGTATTGCTGGATCTTGAGGTAGATTGATTCCCAATTTTCTGAGAAACCATCACACTGATTTCCAAAGTGTTTGTACAAGTTTGCATTCCCACCAGCAATGGATGAGTGTTCCCCTTACTCCACATCCTCTCCAGCAAAAGCTATCATTGGTGTTTTTGATTTTAGCCATTCTGACAGGTGTAAGATGGTATCTCAAAGTTCTTTTGATTTGCATTTCCCTGATAGCTAAGGAGGTTGAACATGTCCTTAAGTATCTTTTGGCCATTTGAAATTTTGGGGGAAGTGGGATGATTGAGATGGAGGAAGGATGGATATGGGAGCAGGGAAGAAGATGATCTTAATTAAGAAATCTGTTTTGGGGTTGGCAAGAAGATTGGCTCTGGTGGGGTTTCCAGGAGTCCATGGGGATGACCCCAGCTAGGACCCTGGGCAGTGGAAAAGAGGGTGCCTGAACTGGCCTTGTCCCATAGTCAGACTGATGTCTATTTTTAATATCACCATAGAACCTTCATCCAACAATGGACTGATATAGAGACAGAGACCCACATTGGAGCACTGGACTGAGCTCCCAAGGTCCTGTTGAAGAGCAGAATGAGGGAGAATATGAGCAAGAAAGTCAGGACCATGAGGTGTTGGTTCATCCACTGAGACAGTGTGACTGAGCTAATTGGAGCTCACCAATTCCAGCTGGACTGGGACTGAAGGAGCATGAGATCAAACTGGACCCTCTGAATGTGGTTGACAATTGGGGTCAGCTGAAGGGCCAATGATAATGGCACTGGGATTTCTCTCTACTGCATGTAGTGGCTTTTTGGGATCCTATTCTCTTTGGATGCATACCTTCCTAAGCCTGGATATAGTGGGAAGGGCCTTGGACTTCCCACAGGGCAGGGTACTTTGCCCTATCTTAGGTCTTAGGGGGGTGGGGGAGAGTGGGGGGAGCAGGTGGGAAGTGAGAGGAGGGAAGTGGAAATTTTGATTGGTATTATTTATAAACTAATAAAAAATCAATACCTATAAAAAGAAAGTAAAATATACTCATTTAAACCTGTCATGTAGAATGTGTTGTCGAATATTATTTTAAGATGTGTTACATTTATTCATGCTATGGAACGTTTGTTTTAGTGATGGGAAAATGTGTTGCATTCTTTTTTGTTGCATTTCCTTAACTCTGTGAAACTGTGTGTGTGTGGGGGGGGTTGCCTTTCAGAATTACCTGATTGTACTAATAACGAGCCAAATGATCAATAGCAAAGCAAGAGAAAGAATAGGTGGGACTGGCGGTAAAGAGAATAAACAGGAGAAATCTGGGAGGAGTAAGGAGCAAGAGAACAAGGAGAGGAGGACGTTAGGTTACAGTCACCATACTACACAGCATGCCATTGAGAAAGAAGTGAAGAAAGGTATATACAGAAACAGAGAAAGATAAAAGCCCAGAAGTCAAAGATAGATGGGATAATTTAAGATTTTTTTTTAAAAAAGCAACTAGAAATAAGCCAAACTAAGTCAGGTATTTATAAATAAGACTAACACTCTGTGTGTGACTTATTTGGGAGCTGGTGCCAGGCACCCCAAAGACAAAAAAAGCCAAAATAGTAAAACAATCAACAACAAGGATACTCTTCCTATAGTTTAAGAACCTCTATTATTTTTATTCCAGTAATTCCCAAACTCATAATCTTTTTTCTATATTTCTTTTCTTAGTCTTTCTTACCTGTGAGTTTTTGCCTAATGGAAGTGATGGAGCCAACTCGTCTTTACCAAAACATGCCCTGCCTACTGGGTGGTTTCATTTATTTAAACACAATGGAGTTGTGCTTTCATACAAGTACAAAATTTATATTATTAATCAAAAGTGAGGTATCCATTTCCACAACAACAGTGAATTGCTGAATTTCCTAAAATATGTTTTAACAGGTAATAAAAAATAAAACGTTTTGAGATGCTTTTTTTGCCTTACGTTACAGCAAATAAATGGGAGTGATAATATAGCAAGTAGCTATTTATAATCCTGAAATTATCTTCTGTTCTACGCTCATGGTTGGAGAAAAAGACATAGAGTGAATGACTGGCTTACAACTTGTTCTGTGGGTCACTTCCATCCACATCTGGTGTTGGAGGCAGATCAAAAGCACCAGCAGAAGATGTAGCTGGAGCTGTGGTGAGAGCAGAGTGTTTATCAATCTTCTCTAGCTTCTCCTCTGCAAATGGAAAAAAGCATAACGAGAGACAGGGAAGATATCCAATCTTGACAATACAGTTTTGTGGTGGAGACATAGCAAAAGGAGAGAGTGTGATGTGTTAATTCTGTATCAACTGTGATTAACACAGGCAAGGGTAATTCATTCTCCTCCACTCTTTCTTGAAATTTGTCTTTACTTCCACAGACCACTCAGCACTTGATCTGTGTCTAAAATGAGAAAACAGGCTTCAAAAGAAGCAAGGAGAGTTACCCTAAAGACAGAGCCTAATGTCTTCTCAAATGGTCTGTCAGCAACTAGCGAATTTAGACACACATGCAAACATACCCAACACTGCTTCTATGAACCTCCATACACAGGATTATATGACCTAACTTTATTTTAAAACTTCAGAGTTCATTTCATGGGATCACCTTTTTAAAACAATAAAATAAAACTATCTAAAAGTCCTAAGTACATTTCACATTCTATTGCAAAGATGATGCACAGGATGCCAAAACTGATAGAGGGCAATGATTTCCTGTACTGAATTATTTAAAGCTATGGAACTGTTTATAGTTAATCTTGACCCAGAGAAACACCTTTAATCCCACCCACCATCATTTTTCCTTCAGTGGTCCTTCACACTGGTATGGTGTCCAAATACTAAAATGCTGAGGTTTTTGTTTAACATTTTGCTTAAGTTAGAAACTATCTTTAGAATCTAGTTTATCCCACTTCAATTCTAGCAATGGGACTAAAACTAATGAGGAGCGTTTAGATGATAGCTTTTAGATACTGCAGTGCAAAAACTGCCACTCCCTTAACACATTATAAGCTATTTTTGTACATATTTGGCCTTTAAATGCCTTATTCTCTGAAAGCTAATCCATAATAGATATTATCTTGTTGCTCTGTGTAGGGTAGGCAGACAGACTAATAAGCTATGAAGGATAGGGAAAGCCATTATTTCTGAAGCTGCCACATCAGGTTTGGTTGGCAGGTTCAATTACTAATTAATCTGCACAGTGCTCATCCACAGTGAAATGCCTCCTTTCATGTCAGTGTAGATCACTGTGATTCTAGAAGCTTGTAGCAGAAATGCTAATTTTCAGTAAGTCCGTCCAGTTGTACAGACATACCATGGCAATAAAACAGATGCCAATGTGATAATTTCAAAATCTTCATCTTAAAAAACTGCTTACAGGAGCAAGAAGACAAGTAAACAACTTTGTGTTGTATCAAGGATATCACATGTGAGGCACTGCCTGCAAGCAGATACAGATAAATCTGTCTTAATTAGCTTTAACTTTGGCAACTGAATCTGTCTTATTTAAAATTGATTCACCAGCACAATTTGAATGTTTGCATATGTCTCTCTAAAGCTTCAAATTATTCTAGTAAACTCATACTCTCAGTGTGTGCATTTTTAAAAGATGCAGAGTGATTAAGAAACTCCCTAGGGTTGAGCAAGAATTTCACACATACTATACGACAGCCATTCCAAAGGTGAAGACTTCATGTGCAGATTATTGATCAGTATCTCTGGGAAAACCTCTAACTTCTCTTACCTAAAATCCACATGTTCTGAGCTCTAAGAATGTTTATATCGGTTTTGTCTGCTCTCTATATCTGTCTTTCCCATTTGCTCCTACCTCAACCTCTTACCATTTGCTGATTCTCCCAGAACTTTAAGATAATTTTTTCTGTTGGATATCATTTTAATAGCCTATGACTTGAGAAATGTAACAATGAGAATTCTGGACAATCTTCCTTCAGATTCAATTCAATCACATATACAATTCATACTAACTCAAGTCCTCTCATGAACAACCTAGAAACAAACCCTTTCAGTCTGTATATTTCAGATTTCTTATAGTGTACTGTTTATGTCCAAGTGTCTTCATCCTGGTCATTTCATTCTCCCACTGAAAGTCAAGACACATTCCCCACACTATTACTGCTAATTCTCATGGACATTTTAAAGTGGGAATACAGAGAAAGCAAAATAAAGCCTGTATAAAATGAAGCAGAATGTTTTCATGTTTATTGACCCCTTTTTCTTTAGTTACTCATTATTAGGCATAAGGCAACACCATGTCTTTTAAATCATGTTTTCTAGAGTGTTTTGCTTATCAGATAGTTTAGGCTATCTGCTATGTCATCAAGAAAGCAAAAAGAAGGAAACCTACAATGGCTGCACGAGCTGTTTTATGCTAATATCTACTCCACAGGATTGTTTAGAAGATAGATAGGTTTTGCATGTGAATGTTTTATGAATTATAAAATATGTAAAATACATACTGCACTATTATCTCTGGCAAACATAAGGAATTGTAGGTATTTGTGTCTTGCCAAACCTACATTTATGACTGCATAAAAAATCTTTATTTATTTTCAAAGCAAAAGCATTAATGGCATCCCTGTCAAAGAAGATGAGGCCACACTGTGCCAGAATTAGGCAAGAGAGGGAGAAACAGTAGTTCTGTGAACTCTCTAGCATGTTCTCAAATATTGGAGTAGAATATAAAGATTTTAAATGTTTCCAGAGGGGAAACGGACATAACAACACATACTACTATTCAAAAACACTCTAAAACCCAGAGTTTCAAATTTCCAGGTTTCCTCTTCCTTTACCAACTATGAGGCACAGGTTTCAAAACCCTGATACTGGAGCATCAGGCAAGGCATCAGTGACTGTCACAAGCAGATAGGTGTACCCTACTCTTACATAGCCGTTTTCTCAATCTGGAGTGGAAGCACATTACAAGTAGGGGTATTCAAAAAAGCCAGGGGTGATAACTGAATCTACCCAGGAGCCATCAACTATGAAGAGTTTACACTTCAGCATCTCTATTACAGTCTTTAAGAGTTCTCTTGAATGGATTCCTTTTTTCTTTAGGGAAAAAAATGGGGAAAGGGGGATAGGACAAAGGTTGCCCCAGAAGTCTTCTATGTCTCTCATTCTCAACTGTGAGTCTGAAGTCATCAAAATCACTGCAGAAGAAGCTTCCTTGTCTTTTACAGTCAGCAGCAACATGCATCATGAACTTCCATGTGTCTTCCAATGACAACATAGACCACAGAAATTCCCATGGCCTCCCATTAGCAGCACAGCCCACTGACGTCAACATGGCTTCAGACAGCAGCAGAGAACATGGATATTTGCATAGCATTTGGTGGTAACAAGGGTCATGAACATCAGCATGGCCTTCTGTAGGAGCAGAGATCATGGATATCAATCTGGCCCATTAGACTTCATAGAGACTTTTCTTCTTTTCATGTGTTTTCTTTTGAGGGGAGGTCACAAGAGTGGGGAGTAGACCTGGGAGAACTGGGAAGTGAGTGTGAGTTGGATGCACTATGTGAAATACCCAAGTAACCATTAAAATATCCTAAAAAAATAAAGAACCATTGGCAAAACTTTTTATCATCCATGGAAACTCCATAAGACTCAATAAGGTCTAAAGGGAGGCTTATTAATACTCATAAAGTAACCTACTCAAAAGTTTCAGGAAGTTCATAAACTGACCAGATACTCTCGACCCCTTTTTTACCAAACTTATATAAGCAGTAAACATTGCTGATAGACACAAGCAGACCATCTGAGCTCTGTGAAAGACGTTGAGACTAGCTGACCTGCCTGGCTGTATAGAGACTCAGCTAACTAGAGAGGCAGAGATAAGCCTAGTAGGCAGAAATGAAAATACTGGGTTTGCTGTGGACTTTGAAACCTCACAATCTATTCTCAGTGATACAAAGAGGCCACGCCTACTCCAGCAAGGCCACATATCCTAATCCTTCCCAAACAATTTCACTAAATAGACTAACTATTTAAATATATGAGTCTATAGGATCCACTCTCATTTGAACCACCACAGCTGAGGGTTGGCCTTTGGTGACATAGCAGTCTTTGAATTATTCCTGCTCCTATAAGTGATCCCTTTTCTATATTTCTGTGAGCAACTCCAATAACCTCATTGGAGCATCAGCTATACTATTGTGTTAACCTTACTTTTGTCCCTACTTGGGGTAAGGAGTCATTTGCTCACATCTCTCCAGAAGTAGTGCCATATAACACCTGACTATCACATTTCATACCAAGTAAGTTATCCTATAAGCTAGCCTTGCTGCTAATCAAAATGTCTATTGATATTATCTTCTACATTGTACTAAACTATTCATATCTAAAAAAATTCAAGTGGCAGATGATAGTGTTTTCTACATTATACAATTAAATTTTTAATATCATTTTCATGTTATACTTTGAGAAAAATATTTCATAATTTTACTAAACAGCTCACAGGTCTAAAACAACATTCATTTAATGACTTCCACTGGAGCAGTAAAATAAAATAAATTAAGAAAACTTATAGCCTTTTGTGGTATTGCATGCCAGGAGTGTTTGCTGAAGCTGAACAAAGGAGGATCACAAGTTTGAGGTCAGCCAGGGCCACACATTTTAGGACTCTGTGGCCCAAAATGAGGCTGTGGAAATGTATGGAATATGGCAACTGATAATTCAGATGTCAACCCATCAGAAGAGTGATGCTGTTACAGAGCTTAGTCCTGTCCAGGCAAGGCCTGCAGGACCATTGACTCTGAAAACTGTTGCTTACTTTGGCTAAAGCAGTTTGATGTCTCCACAATAACTTCATTGTAGTATGTAATCTCATGATTGCATCTCAATCTTATGGGCACATATATCCATGCTTGGTAAAGAATTATATATTTAGTTATATAATTTTAGCGAAATATATAGCTACATAATTTAACTATATAATTTTAATATATGGAATACATGCTTCATAACTAGATCTATTTGTCCAACAAGAACTGTCGACACTTAAAAGCCTGCTTTGTTCCTTTTATCTCAGGCTAAATGCACATAATTATCTCACTTTCACCGCAAAGCAAGTTCAAACTAGATGAAAGGATTTTTGTAAATAGATCATAAGTTTAAAACTTTACAGATGTGCAAAGGTCAGAGTAGCAGATATCTAACCAGGTTACTACACAAA